TATGTTTATATGACAAAACAATATTACATGGCCGTTTGGAGGAGCGAAATCTAGAAAAAAATAAACAATAATTTTCTCATTCAGTCCATTTTTTGGACCATTGTTTGGACCTTTTTACGGACCAATTTTTGGACCATTTTATCGGGGTGAGGCAGATCAGTAGTATTAACGGAGGAGTTGGATGCAGTCTATCAGTGCTCAGGAAGGGGTGGGAGGCAGACTGTTGTTACAGTTTCGCATTCGCATGACAAAAATATAAAGAAATGCTAAGGCCCGGCGCAAAAAAATGACATGAAAATAGGTAGTCAAAAAAAACGGCTAACAATAATGTTATGATTCAGTGAAAATTACTATTATCAGCAGCATTTACTGTTACAACAACCTTTCACCCCTCCCTGCGTACTTGTAGTTCGTCCTCGACCCCTTCCTCAGTAACAACAATCTGCCTCCCACTCCTTCCTGAGTACTGAGTATCGATAGACTCCATCCCACCCTTCCCTAAGTATTAATAGTCTGCCTCCTCCCGATAAAATGGTCCAAAAAAATGGTCCAAAAAATGGTCCAAAAGATGATCCATATTTTATCACTATATCACTGCATGTTTTCATAGAGGTCTATTGACAATGAAAGCATAAGACAGGCTTGTGAACGTTTGCGGTTTTACCCGCATCTGATCCTGTGACATTAGGACTCCATCCATGACGAGCTTTGGATTGGAATGTGCAGCCAGCTAATGTGCATTTTTTTTTTGCGGCGCAAAGCTCTTAAAACCGCTAGATCAGTTGGGGGTAAACTCCACAAGCCTGTTTCTTTAGTTCTCTTACGACAGACAAGATACAAGTAAGCGCTCTCTAAAAGGGAAATTTGGTTTCAACTCTCAACCGCACAGCTATGGGTCACTCCAGTTTATTTCTCTCTCTGATTTTTATTACTCTAGTGGCGTTCAGCTCAGGTAAGCAGCAATACATTAATAATGACTGGATTGATGTTATTTTCATAGAGCACTCCTACGGCCGCAAGCGAAACAAATGCCTTACATGCACTTTTCTAATGGGTCGCTGAGGACCAACAGAAACTTGCTGTAAATTGATGCCTTTATACGAGAAAACTTAAGAAAAGAGGTGCTGTCCGAAATTCGATGATTCGTTCTTTTATCAAAGAAGAAAAGAGGAGAATTCATTACTGAACAAATATTATAACTTACGCGTTTCGGAGGCCAGTGTTAAAATGTTGAAGTTTTACTTTGGAGAAAAAAGCGGAAATGTAACTGACAGAGCTTTACGAGTCCACAAATTTCCCTTCATTGATGAGAAATCGCAAGCGTCGGAAAAAAAGATGGTAGCAAGATGTTACTTTCAGTTTTGGGGTCATTGCAAGTACTGAATCGCATAACAACGCAGATAATAAACTCGAATGTTGTCTTCACAGTTTGAAAAAAAAAGTGTTTTCTGTTCTTTCAATGCGACTAGAAAGCGACGTGGATCACTTGTTCTTCATATCAAACAATTCAAGAACGAAGCATAAGACAGTTAAAGCAATCTCCAAACATCATTATCATTTTATTCGTCTTTATCAAGATCATAATGATCATAATTACTGCCATTATGATTGTATTAACAGTTACAACATTTTCTTTTCAATCATCCAAAAATATCAGCGTTTTGTAATCCTTTTGTATACTCTGTCTATATATCATAAATAGCACAAACAGTCTCCAAATTAATTCTTGCTACAAACATTTTGAAAACCTTGAGGATTCATTCTCCATTTTTGTTTGCGTGGAGCTTTTTGGTGTGGCACCTGTGATGCACTTAGATCTTTTCCTTTCAGAACTTGACGATCATCAGTGTCTGAGACTACATCACTTTCTTTCTCAGAATTCAGTTCCGAGCTATTTTCTGAGGTTTCTGTTCCTAGCAATAAAGATAATTATAACAGTTAATGGGTATGTTGCCGTTAATTTTTGTTTTCAGTGACATTTATTCTTTCCTTGTTTAAAACTCATTATCATACATCACATACCTAAAAACAACGGAAAAATAAAATTTAATCGAAACAAAAAATTAACTCCAACATGTACATGCACCACACAGTTTGAAAACCTCTAGTTAACTCTCCTTCTCGTCTTCATTTTTTTTTTCAACTGGCAGGTTATCTAATAAAGATTCATGGAATGTATTCAGTTGGTGTATTATTTGAAAAATAACAGAGATTAAATCAAATTCAGAAGTACTTGTTCTGATTGTTAGTATAGGTAATCACATGATTTCGAGTGCAATTTGGAATAAATAAGCACGAGTAATTTGTTTTAAAGACTAACAAAATTGCACGAGCCCGAAGGGCTCATGCAATTTGCGCTCTTTGAAGAAATTAACAAGTGCTTGTTTACTCCAAATCGCACGAGAAAAATCATGTGATTACGTGTTAATAATATAAATGGAAGAATACGAGATGGCTTATCATAATTAGGCATAAGCAAAGCGCGCGCATCAAGTGCAAAAATAATTTATTCAAACCCTACGTTCGGTCAAAACAACCGCGTACGATCAGAACGTTTATATGCAATGACATCTTCACATCATTAAGGCGCAAAATAGTTCAAAGTCCGGCTAAACAGTACAAGGAATTGTTCAGGCCGTGTCCGAATCACTTTCGATGAAATGAAATCGTCGTTTCCGAGGTTTAACTATGTTTGTTTTTAATTTAGGCGTTGGATCGCTCGAGCAAAGTGTTAAACTGGGCCGGCTCGTAATTTTCGATTTCCTTGGCAATTCCCTTCTCTAAACACCATTTTTCCAAACCGAAAACCAAAAAGCAGAGCTTTTTACAGTGTTTTCGTTGTTTGTGCTGAAGAAAACCTACTTAAAACGCTCACAAATTTTCAAGTTTGTTGCAACATCCAAGGCTCGCATTTGATTGGCCATCTGTGAGTTTCTTTAATTATTGACCAGTGAGAATGTCTGATTTGTTACTTTCTTTGCACTGAATTAACCCTTTTCTGCACTGAATTAACTCTCTTCTGCACTGAATTACCTGAAACTGAATTTATCCTAACCAATCAGAACTGAGTAATTTTCCATGGACATTATTAATCTAAAAACACAACAGCAACAACAACACTGCTGCGATCACTAGAGCTGCTATGGGTCAATAGTTGGGTCATCTTTAAGAACCCTGTCCATTTTCCATGAACTTCTAGGGCTTCTTGGGTCTCGAATTTCCGCTCTCCTTAGCACTATCCTTCACATCTTTGTATTTTGCTCGTAGTTTTTTCAATTTGTCCGTAATTTTCCAGATAGTTTTCATTATTACTTTGTAAAATTGCTAGAAAAACCAATAACATTAGAGCGAATGAAAGTGACTTGACAGAAACTGTCAGAACTGTCAAATGTCTTTGTTAATCAGCCTAATTTTTTAAGAGATTGCAACGAAAAATCAGTCCATATAAGACCTTGTTTCTATAAATTACAATGTATATATATATATATATATATATATATATATATATACATATACGGTATATAAATCTATTAATGAACGTATGTACAACGTATCAACCTTTCCGCAGAGGTTTAAAGAAGATTTCAATTTCACGAGGAAATCTGAATAGTTTTATAATGTATAACCAGCCGGATAGTAACGTACAATAATGCTCCACCAGAGCTGAAAATAAACGCTCAAAATGCAAACAGTTGTACAATTCCTGTGCAGTGAAACGAATCATTCATTGAATCCAGCTTTCATATTGCTCACGACATTAACTACTTCCGAGGAAAAGCGAAAATTGAACGCGATGGGTATTCAATTAGTTGAATTAGAAGCAGGGCCAGTCAGTAATAAATTCATACTGTACGATTTTATACCAGTAACCAACGGCGTAATTTCTTCCAGTCGATAATGTATAGCTAAAAGATTGTTGGCCATTAACTAACAGCGTAATTTCTTCCAGTCGATCCTGCATACATATTCTTCCTTAGTTTATATATAACTATATTAAGGGCTCACAAGGTGAGCAGTTGTATAAACTCGCATTTTGAGACGCAGACATGGATATCCAGAAGTTTTGGTTGTACATCTTTTTGTTTGTCGCTTATCTAGGTGAAACTTATAGCTCTGAAGGTCAGAAAGGCAAATGACCATAAGTGCTTCTTGAAATAATTCATAAGCATGCGGTTGACGTCGGATATAGGAGGCTGATAGTAGCTATACTTAAACTTTGTTAAACTTCGAAGGTGTAAATGTTGGGAAAAAAGTATATATCTCAGTGTGTATTTTCAAACAGACCTAAACTTACGATTAAACAATCATGTTTGTTAACAATCATCATGGTTTGCGTTCCTCGAAATTCCTTCAGAAGAATTTATACATTTCAGCTATATACGGCTGGTTATTTATTCGAGGTTTAACCCAGAACGTGATTTTATGCAACCAGAAGGCCAAATCTCAAAATCAGTAACAGACTTTAGGCACTCTCAAATTATACTAGAACAAGGGCAAAGAGTGTAAAACTATTGTCTGCACTCCTACTGAGAGCAATTCAAGAGGAAAATGAAGAAGAATGTGGAAGATGAATAAAATATGACATGAACTGAGCTTATAAAAGGGGTCTAGCTCATTATCATTGAAAGCAACATTTGCTTGCTAATCAAACGACACAAATTCCACAGGCTATTTGCACCCAAAGAGAATTAACCCTTCATCAGTTTCTGGAGAGCGGTCATTTTTCTATCGCCTTGGGGGAATCGAAGGATGTTTTTGGGGGAATCACGTGGTTTAAGGGGGATCGTAGGGGGGGGGGGCGATCAGTCGTCTCTAACAGAGTGTTTGAAGGGCTACTATAGAGAATTGACCGATGGGCGGGGATCAGGTAAGTTTTATTGTGATCATATATTACCAATACCTTCGGCCCCCCCGCACCGTTTCTCCTATAGAAATCTCTAGAGTGCCCAGTGAAATTGCAGTTGCTAACTTCCTTTTTTATCTCTACACTTCCTCGACAGGACCTGATGTCAATGATGCAGAGAACCAGATCGTTGTTGACAACGATGCAAGGAATGTAGAAATTCCTTGCGTGATAAACACGGATGGTCTGTCCTGGTCGGACCTAGGCTTATATATGTGTCCGACGATGGTACAATGCAGAAGTGATAGGGACCGATTCAAATTAGCTCGAATCGAAAAAAATACGATATTCAATTACTATCCTGAGGATTTTAAAGTTAGCCTAAATGGATCATTGATTGTACGAAAGATGTCATCAAAGTATGACGGAATGGTTGTCTGGTGTATAGGACAAGTTCGGTACCATGGAGCGCGAGAAAACACGACACTTATTAAAATAGCCAAAGGTACGACTTTACCTGTTTTATAATAACTTGCACACAAAATTACGCGCTTCTTATTGGCTGAAAGTGAGTGCATTCTCAGGTAACATGAGTGTGAATTCTAGTACGAACGCAAATTAAAAATAGTGCGCGCACGTTTTCAAAATTTCGTCTGTCTTGACCTTCTGCGATGTTTTATCATTTACATTATTAACAAGTAAAACCATGATTTCTCTTGCAATTTGGTATAATAGGCACTCGTAAATTTTTCAAAGACTACAATTTGCACTTGCCCGACAGGCTCGTGCAGTTTCGTTGTCTTTGAAAAATTTACTCCTGCTTATTGACACCCAATTGCAAGAGGAATTATGTTGTTACCTATACTAAAACTATCCATCATTTTGAAATAAAACTAAACGGATACTGTCTCAACCACAGTATGGGTGGATCCAGAAATATTTGGAAACGGGTGAGGAAAGGCAGGGAGGGGACGGAGCGGAGGCGAATTGATCATAAAACAGTTTTTATCGTGGAAAATTACTCTTCGACTACTAACTCCCTTTCTTCTCCCTTCATTCACTCGTGCACGAAAGAGAAAGATAAATAGAACAGATGAATTAAAGAAAAACCTCATTTTTAATTCATACTCATTTAGGCTTCCAAAACTTTTTTTTCCTTTCTCAGAGAGGCCAAAAATTAGAATAAAAAGTCCGCAACTGCTCTCGGTAATCGTAGGAACGATTCTGTACTTAGGCTGCAATGCAACTGGTTATCCTCCTCCCCGGGTAATCTGGTTTCGTGACAAGGAAGTTCTTCAAAACAGATCAATTGAAGAAAGCACAAGTTTGGTGCTAAAAAATGTCACTAAAGACGACGAAGGAAAATACATTTGCAGGGCTACAAATCTTTTAGGAAGTGATAGTTATGAGGTGCAAGTAAATTTCACCGGTGAGTTTTAATTCTATAGACCTTGAAATGGCACAAAACCAATTTTTAATACAAGCAAGTGAGTTGAGTTTCCAACACTTTACTTCTTTAACTTACTTCAATAAAATTAACGGTCATCGAAAACCGAAAAACCTTCTTGAAAATTTACAAGACAAAAAAGGTAAAATAGATGAACATAAACTCAAAACGTCAACATAAATCATGAAAAATGGGTTTCTAGTTTTGTAAAATTGGCGAGTTTTATCATCTGCACTCATGGTAAAACCATATAGCTCCTCTTACGTAATCAGCCAAAGTGAGTCAGCTTCGCGGTCGTCCGATTTTGAAATCACCCGTACAATTACAGACTGTATTGCCTCCACTCGGTCCTATTATCATTTAATTTGACCCTCTTGTTTGGTGTACATTTGTTTTGCAGAGTTTGCAGAAAATTCGACGTTGCCGACACAAATAGGTATTTACAAAATTCTATTATTGATTTGTTTTCATTTCTTGGAAATATTTTTTGGTTCTGCATTTGTCTTCATCGTGGATGTGTCTGCTTTTCTTTATTTTTTTTGTTTTTTTTTGTTTTGTGATGTTTTGCTGTACTGTACAGTGTTGTCCTTTGTACATTACTTTGTTTTTTCTTCTGTTTTGTTTTCTTTTGCTTTGCTTCCTTTGCTTCGCTATGCTTTGCTTTGCTTTGCTTTGCTGTGCTGTGCTGTGCTTTGCTTTGTTTTTTGTTTTATTTTGTTTTGTTTTTTGTTTTTTGTTTTGTTTTGTTTTGCTTTACTATCCTTTGCTTTTTTTTGTTTTGTTTCGTTTTGTTTTTTATTGTTTTTTTTATTTTGTGTTGTGCTGTGCTGTGCTGTGCTGTGCTTTGCTTTTTTTTTTGTTATGTTTTGTTCCGTTTTGCTTTGCTTTGCTATCCCTTGCTTTTCTTTGCTTTGCTTTGTTTTTGTTTTGTTTGTTTTGTTTTGCTTTGCTATCCTTTACTTTGCTTTGTTTTCTTTTGTGTTGCTTTTTGATTGTTTTTTTTATTTTGTGATATGCTGTTCTTAGCTGTGCTGTGCTTTGTTTTCTGTTTTGTTTTGTTTTGTTTTGTTTCGTTTTGCTTTGTTGTGCTTTGGTTTGTTTTTGCTTTTTTTGTTTTTTTTTGCTTTGCTTTGCTTTGTTTTGCTTTGTTTCGTTTTGTTTTGTTTTGTTTTTGCTTTGCTTTGCTTTTTTTGCCTTGTTTTCTTCGTCTCGTTTCGTTTCGTTTCGTTTCGTTTCGTTTCGTTTCGTTTCGTTTCGTGTCGTGTCGTGTCGTGTCGTGTCGTGTCGTGTCGTGTCGTGTCGTGTCGTGTCGTTTCGTGTCGTTTCGTTTCGTTTTGTTTTCTTTTGTTATCGTCTCGTCTAACGTGCTAAAAGAAATGTATAATCTATGTCGACTCTCCTTGGGTCCGTAGCGCAATAATTTTTAAATGCATAAGCGTTCCTTGAAATTTCAGAAAAGTTTTGGAGAGAAAAACTATAAGCCCTTTCTAATTTTTGGACCAATTCAAGTCTCTACACAGTTTACATTTTTTCGTTACCAAGGGGATGACTTATAATTATACTTGATATATTCAATTATTAATTGATAATTAATTATTATAGTTAATTATACTGAATAGATTTTGTGTTTTGTAGATAAGCAAGGAAGTCGAGGAAGTGATCCCTACAAAGTGGCAACTTTCGTGTTGTTAACACTCCTGATCCTTGCAATGGTGTTTATAGTTCATTTAATGAGACAAAATAGACGCCTGAACCAAGGAAATGCTTTGCCCGAGGTATAAATTTCACGAGCCAAGTAACAATGCAGTTTTGGGAGAAAAAAATGAAAATTTAAAAAAAAATATCAAAAAAAACTGCAGAAAAAAAAATGAAAAGGTAAAAAAAATGCATAGAAAATGTGAAATGTCTTGCGAGTTCTCTTAGTTGTGATAGCTAAACTTCTTCATTCGTGCACATTAACAGAAAGCAAAGCCAAGAATATTAATTGAATGCCCGTAGATATCTAAAAAATGAAAACAGGCTCGAACGTTTGTAAAGATTCACTTCGGGGTATAAAAGGAAAGGGTTTGTAAAAAATATCTGGAATTTATACTGTCATTGTAAAAAGACAAAGAAACTGGAAAAAGGAAACAAATCCACATATTTCTTCAACTAAAAGAAATATTTCTTCATTTTTGTCATCCAAGGCCACGTGTTATCATCATTTTAAATAATGTCTCGTAAATGATGTACTGTGGGAAATGTGATAAAAAGTCTATGTATTGTAAGTAAAATATGTAGTTCTAAATAAAGATCAGTCAAAAAATGAAACTAAATAGGATTTCAATTTTCTACCTCTTGATTGTTTTCAAGCTTCTAATTTCAAATTAAATTTACTGACAGACAAATCAGTAGAACTTAAAAAAGGTTAAGGTCTTAAAACCCCAATAAGGGTGGACTGGAGAGAACAATGACACAATGTAAGTAATATATTTTTAAGACATCAGATATTTGCTGCGGCCGCTGCCTCCTGTAGGAGTCGAAACCATATGCTGGTAAACATGGAATTCCGATCTTGACCTAATTATGACCCGATGCTCCCCGGTGCTACTTATTGTTTGTTTCGGAGTGTCTTAGTCGTTCGACGTTCGCACTCGATACATATTGGAGTTTTCTCCTTTTGTGATTTCTAGGCTATAGCTACTAACACATAATGTTATCATTCTTGTCCTTGTTGTGGCTCTTGCCCCGATTGATAAGGAAGTCCTTCAAAATTTACAAATAAATGTGTTTGCATCGTGAGTCATGTGCTAGCAATTTTTTTCAATTTGGGCCAATTAATTAATTCTTATACTGCTGTCATCTACAGCACTTCATCGCTAAACAAGTGAGCGGCTCGAATTAACGGCTCTGTGTTTTGACATTGTTCACATGAGAGCAATCCATCATCAGGACGTTTGGCGAATAAAGCGGCGGTGTAAGAATTAACATCACCCGCGGGTCGAATGAAGTTTTGGTACGTACACATAAAATTAAAAAATCGTCTCGAAATCTCCAAATTTATACCTAAATACTGGCCTTGCTCACTGTAGAGTCCTCAGTGGCAAAAACTCGCAGCGCGTAATCCAAAGATCTGTTGTTCGATCTCTTACGGGCACTCACTTTCGATAATTTTCAAAATTTTGGCTACAATGAAGTGAAGTTTCCTTTTACTTTTCCGCTGTACCGCTAGGTTCAAACATAGGAAGTCTTCTTTGCCTCTAAGAGAGAAAAGCTGGACATAAATGTAGTTCACCCTTCATTTTTGACCAATAATGGGCAGGTGATGAGACTATAATAACATTAAGCACGCGTTTCCAGATGGCCGGTTCTCAAAAAAATAATTTTAATAAAATTTGTCACGACGTCTCAACAATGCGGTTGAACTATTGACTACGCACAATAATTTGAAGATTCAATTATCTTTCTTCGATTAACAGATAATTTTCTAAAGGGTTCACTTTAGCTCAGTTGAGCTAGCATTCTTCCGGTTTTACAGATGCGTTTCACAACAAAAGTTTGCTAACAAAGACATTCCCATTGTATAATGCTGATTACGGATGTCGTGATAAATTTTGACTTGACTTGAGGCTATCGTGACCTCCATAAAACTGGCCGTTAGGCGCAAAAAACTGACAAATTCTTAACCTTAAGTTGTAAATAAAGTCAAACGCAATTTTTTTTTCTATCAACCTTTACGGGAAGAAAACAACCGTCAGCCGTAAAATGGCCAATAGTTTAAGAGCAAGAGAGAAAAAGGAAGTGATTACACTTGAAACAGAATAAATTAGGAATATTTTGCTTTTCTCCAGACTTCCTGGCTAATGATAATGTATAACGCTGCAAAAATATATAGCAACATTCTGAAAGTGAAAGTTCAAGTGAAAAAAAATTGCACTTTTTGCCGTCACGTCATAAAAAGGATCGTGAGGCAGAAAGTCTCACGGAATATCAAACCACCACATTCATTCGAAAGAAACATCTTCTGAGTCGTAGACATGGATATTCAAAAATTTTGGCTATACATCAAGTCAGTAAACAAATGGCTATAAGTTACACCTTTTGCTTTTAATTTGTTCAAACAGTTTCGTAATTCATAGACATATGGCACTCTAAAATTAGGGAGCGTATAGCCCTTTAATAATGGCTCGTGTTAAGAGCGATTCAATATTTGTAGAACATAAATATCGTTGTGACGAACTGATTTTAAGGAGTAAATACAACAGCTGCTTGCTAATCAAATAACACAAATTCCAAAAGCGACTATTTATCCCCGATATGAATACCTGGTGAAATTGCTTTTGCTAACTTCCGTTTGATATGTCTACGGCCTCGACAAAATCAAAAAATACTGATCAGGCAACAGGATCATTGTTAAAATTGATGCAACAGACGTTCAAGTAACGTGCTCGATAAACACTGACGGGCTGCCCCTGAAAACTTTGCGTGGTTTGAGTGTCCAAATATGGAACAGATGAAACAGTGCAGAAAGGACCGGGACAAGTATAGAAAAGCTTGGATAAAAAACAGAACAGTGATCAATCACTATCCTGAGGAGTATAAACTCAGTGTAAATAGAACACTGAGTGTACTGAAGATGTCACCAAAGTATGACGGAGCGGTATTCCTTTGCATAGGAGAAATTGAACACCATGAAGCGCTAGAGAACACCACAATTATTCAAATAATCAAAGGTAGGATTATTTTCCTTTAAAACTCTATTCATCATTATGAAAATAAAGCAAATGTGGGCAGTGTCTCCACTCTGAAACAACCACAGCAGGGTGGATCCAGAAAATTAGTTAAAAGGGGCTGCAGCCTACTTTGATTCATATAATGGCTCATTACATGTATTCAACTTCTAGATTTTTTTTTGTTTTGTTTTGTTTTGATTTTTTTTGCAGTAAATTCTGCAAGATTGTAATAAATTACCACCTGGTTAGCATGCAGGTTTTCAGACAAGTTCCGCAGACTTTTAAACTGTGTTATACAAATCAAGTTATCATCAAACTCCCACAATTGTTTTTTTTCTTTCAGAGAAGCCCGTTATTAAGATAAAAAGTCAAAAACCGTCCTCGGTGATCGAGGGATCGACTCTGTACTTAAACTGCGTCGCAACGGGTTTTCCTCGTCCCCGGGTGACCTGGGTTCGAATTCGTGACGGGCAGGTGCTTCAAAATCGAACAAACGACGAGGCCACAAGTTTAGTGCGAAATTTCACCAAATGTGACGAAGGAGAATACCGTTGTACAGCCAAAAATCGTCTGGAAAGTGATAATTATATACTTCAAGTAATTGTCATCAGTGAGTTTTTATTATGTAGATCTGAGATGAAGGGTACCCTATATATATTTATACAGTTCGTGAGCGGGTGGTATTCTATAAATCCTGCAATCTGATTGGTTTCGAGAGCGGACATTGTCCTTATTATTCGTATTACTCTGTTGAGTCGCTTTGCAGAACATCTCTAGCTTCGTTGCATTTTTTTTTTTTTTATAAATATGAGTTATTTTGTCGGCTGAGCATATTTTTAAGCAAAGACTTAAGTAACGACCTTTAGCCTGTAAATGATTTATTAATTCTCTTTTCTCTCTCTATCAAAGCATTTATATTTTTACACAAAAATTTATTTCGAAATGAATATGATAATGGATCTGTCCCCCCTTCTCTTTCTTTCTCCTCTTTTTCCCCTTTTTCTTTCCCCTTTTTCTTTCCTCTTCTTTCTCCCTCTTCTCTCTCCTCTCTCCTCTCTTCCTTCTCTCTCATCCCCTTCTCTCACCCCCTTCTCTTTCTCCTTTCTTTCTCCCCCTTTCTTTCTCCCCTCCACCTTTTCTTCTCTCTCCCATCTCCTCTCTCCCCTCTTCTTTCTCCCTCTTCTCTCTCACCTCTCCTCTGTCCCCCTCTTTTCTCTCCCCTTTTCTTTCCCCCTATATCTCTCCCCTCCTTTTCTCTCTTCCTATGTCTCTCCCCTCCTCTTCTGTTTATTCTCACTGCCCCCTCCTCTCTCCCTCCTAACTTCTTTTTCACATTTATGCTCTTAAATGAGACACATCTCTTTTACAATGTTATATGTTAAATCTTCCATGAAGATAAAATTCCAAGCTCAGAGGCACCTGACCCTTCAGATTCGCCTCCCTCAGGTACGAATACTGTTGTTATTGGCCAAAAAACGGTTTGTTTCTTTCTTTGCCT